GGGGGGGGGGGGGCTGCCTAGCACAGCCACACTCACCAGGGCCCCGATGCAGCATGGAGGAGCCCCAAACCACCCCGTGGTGCTGCCCGTGGGGAAACCCTCCCGGCAGCGGAGCTGCGCAGAGCCTGAGCCTTGGGCTGCCTGAAGCAGGGGGGAGCGGATTGCTCCCCCCAGGGTGTCCTTCCCAGGATGAGGGGGTCTCTGCTCCGGGCTCTGCCTCCTGCCTGCGCCGAGAGCCTGCTGTAGTGCCCTTCAGTAAATAACTGTTTAACCAGCAGACAAATGGGCTCCAGGTGCTTTCCGATGGCAATGCATTCATTAACACAAGTGCCTATTAATTTTTACACCCACACCCAGGCAGTTGGGTTAACCACTGCGGGGGGGGGCCCTCTGTGCTGGCTGCGGGGGAAGGCTCGGTCCGATGCAGCTGGTGTGTTTGGTGGGATCTGCCTTGAGTCTCCTGCAGCAAACCCCCCCGAGGCCGTCTCAGGCTTCAGAGAGACCTGGGGGTACATGTTGGAGCGGTTCCTCTGTGGCATCTGCTGAGCCTTGGAGGGGGGGGGGATTTGCTCCGTGCTCCTGCAGCCTGGGGGCTTGGGAGCCTGGTCTTGAATCTCACCCACGCCTGAAAAAAAAACGCATCTCCCACCCACAGGACGCTTAAACCTCCTCCTTTCTGTGCCACAAAGGGGTCTGAGCAAACGTCCCCATGGCCCGGGGGAGATGTGGGGGAAGAAGCCCCCCTGGGAGGTTGTGAGGTGGCTGATGCCGAGTCCTCGGTGGCAAAAAAAAAATGAGCCGGGACGAGGTGAAGGACGTTGCTGACGCCAAAGGGCCGTGGGAGCTGCTGCCAGGGCTGGGGCCGGGCTCAGCCTGGTGGCCCGCGCCGCAGGGCTGCGCTCTGACCTCCTCTTCCTCTCCTGTCGCTGTAGATAAAATACCACGAAGAGTTCGAGAGGAGCAGGATGGGCCCGAGCCCCAGCGAGGGTGCTGAGCTGGAGCGCAGGAACTCCCAGGAGAGCACCAATTACCGGCGACCCGCAGAGCAGCAGCATCAGCCGTCTCACCACGTCCAACCCAGCAACCCGGGTAAGGCGGGGGGGGGTGCTGCGGGCACCGCTGGCGGCTCTTTGCGAGGGGCTTTGCTGTGTCCCCCACGTCCCAGCACCAGCTCCGGGTAACAGACCCCGTCTGTCCCCCTCCCCAAGGCTACCAGCAGCCATCGTCTCAGTCCTACGGCTACAAGGAGCCTGCAGCACCGGCCTCGACACAGCGCAACGCTCCTTCTGGAGGGGGGGTGAGTACAGCCCCAACACCTGCCCCCCGCCAGGGTCCGGGTTTGCTGCGCTCGCTCCCTGCCCCGGCGCAGGGGAGTCGCAGGTGTGTAGCGCCGGGTGCCGGGTTTCCACGTGTACGGGTGCTGCTGGCGCCGGCGTCCCTGCGCGGCGCCCGGTGAGAACCTCCCAGATCCACCACAGCTCCCTGCCCCCGGAACCCCCCCCGGCCGGCAGCTCTGTCCATCCGGAGCAGGGCCCGGGGAGGGTCTGTGCCCGCTGACCCCTCTTCTCCCCACAGAAGCGTTTCCGCGCCGTCTACGATTACAACGCGGCCGACGAGGACGAGGTCTCCTTCCAGGACGGCGACACCATCATCAACGTGCAGCAGATCGACGACGGGTGGATGTACGGCACGGTGGAGCGCACGGGCGACACGGGCATGCTCCCCGCCAACTACGTGGAGGCCATCTGAGCGGCGGGAGGGGACGGGGCCCGTGGCTCACAGCCGAGCCCCCAGCCCACACCGGCCCCCCCCTCCGTGTCTGTGTGCGTGTCCGTCTCTCTGTCCCAGCATCCCTTATCCCGCCCGCTCCGGCATCGCCCGCCGGAGCCGCGTCCTGACACCCCGGTTACTCCGTGTTTCTGCAGCCCTCTCCGGTTTCTCTTGCCAATTTAGCTTTGTTCTAGCTCTGTCGGGACCGAGGGACTGTCTGCAAGGGATGTTGGGGGCTTGAGAGACCAAACCGCTGCAGCTTTCCCTCTCCGTCGGTCTCCCTCCTCTCCAGCCCTCCCGGGCGCTCCGATGTTTCCCGGGACCCCAGTAAAGGGGGGAGGAGATCGTCTTAGGACCAAATTCCCCCCGCTCTGGCGGGGATGGGCAATGTCTGGGTGGACGAGGTGGGGGATGCTCGTCCCAAGGGCTGCCCTGGGCTGACGGGAGGGACGGGCTGGCAGCCTCCACCCTGCCCCGCTCGGGCTCTGGCTTGTCCCGTTGCTTTTCCCGGCTCCTCTGTGCCGTGTTTCCATTCAGTCTTCGCTCCCTTCAGTCCTCAAAACAGAAAAACGTTCGCAATTAAAATCTGAAGCTAAATCTTAAGCTAAATCTTTCTCCCTGGGATTCAGAGCGGCTGCTCTGGACAGGCCTGGAGGCAGCTCTTGCTGCTTCTGCCTGCGGCTCTGGCTTCTTCCTTCGGCCTTCCCGATCCCTCCGGGGCTGAGCCGGGGCGGTGCTGGTGCGGGAAGCGGAGCAGCCGCAGCGTTGCTTCGCCCAGAGGCTGCTGCTCCCGCTCGAGGGCTGGAGACGGGCCGGGCTCCCCGCTCCTCTGCGCTGGGGGGGGAGCACTGTGACACCAAGACCTCAAGTCCCCCCTGCAGCTCCAGCTGTCTTTAGGGATCCCCTGGGCCCCACCTGCCGGGGCAGCCTCTTCCTCTTAGTGCTTGCTCCCCAAATTCACCCAGAATCTTCCTCATTTTCTCTTGCTGCTGCTGGGCTGAAGGGACCCTCCTGAGGCCTCCACCGGCTGGGTGGATGGTCTGGGGAGCCGGCAGGATCAGCCCCCATCCCTGTGCCTCTTCTGAGCCGCGTGTGAAAGATCCTCCCCCTCTGCCACCACGCTAGGGACCGTCCTGGGTGACTGTCCCCTCTGGCAGCTCGGTCTCGAGTGGCAGAGGCCGGGGTTTGGCACCCCGAAGCACCCTGCACCTCTTGTTGGTCCCCAGCAAGACACGGGATCACGTCGTGGACCAAAATCTGACAGCACATCCCTGTCCCCTTCTTGCTTGGGCTCCAGAGGTCCCAGAGCTGGACAGGGACAGGTATAACTGGAAGCCTGTGCGGGGAGGGTGGGAGCAGGATGCTCTTCTCCCAGGTCACAGAAGCCGAAGGGGCGGTGGTGATGCCGTCGTGCTGCCGCCAGCTCTGCGCTGCCCCATGCCCACTGACAGCCCCGGCCCTGCCCGGCCCACGGGCACGGGGCAGCCGGAGGGGACTGTCCCCTTGGCGGGCAGCTCAGGGCTTGGGCTGCGCTTCCAAGGGGAAGCTGCTGCTTTTGCTATTCCCAAAGGAAAAGAGGGAATTTAGGGACCAAAGTGGCCAAGTTGATCCATTCCTTGGCTCTGGGGACACATCCTGGGGGATGGTCTCATGGAGAGGGAGAGGATCCCACTGCCTCGTGCTTGCAGTCCCCTTTCTCAGAGCACGCGGGGCTGCAGGGCTGGTTCGTGGGTGATGCTGGGGTCGGGGTGACCAGAGTCGGGGGCTGCTGGAGCAGATGCTGTTCTGGCAGGGAGGGGGTTCCAGCAGGGCAGAGACCCGCTGGGAGGGCAGGAGCCAGGGACAGGGGAGCGTTCTGCTCCTGGCTTGTTCCCCAGTTGGCTGCAACGGGATGGGGGGAGAGCGATGGGGACTCCTGCCACCGTCATCCCCTCGGGGTGAAAACGGGACCCCAGAAGCTGCCAGGATGGGCTTTACGGGATGGGAATCCCGTTTGGTGCTAAAACAAGCGAGCACAAGAGCAGGGGAGAGGGGGTGGCTGGGCAGGGGGGGCAGTCCACATCTCCCTGCTAATCCTCTTCTTAATCACGTTCTTGTCTGGGATTTGGGGGGAGTATCAATGTGAATAAACCGTTTTTTAATGGACCAAATAACACAGGCAATTACGTTTTGGTATATGGACCTTTTTTTAATGCTACCTTGAAACCATTGTCCTAATTCTCCCCTCCCACGCCCTGCCTCTTCTCCCCTGCCATGGGAAACAAACCTCTTACTGCTTGATTTATGCCTTTTCTCTCGACTTATGCACTTTTTTGCCTTTTTTTCATAGCTGAAAAGCACCTAAACCTGTATTTAAAATAAATAAATAAATAAAATAGTAAAAAAAAAAAAGGAAAAATTAAAAGCTAAATTGCTTTTCATCATGTGTAAAATAGACCTCGTCCATCCCAGCTTCCCCGGTTGCGTCTCAGTGCTGAGCTTAGAACGTGTTTTCTTCTGGATCCGTTGCTTGATTATGTACTCCTTCCCATCGGGTTGAGCACCACCAATAAAAAACGTTATTTGGCCTTTTTAACCGAACCATCGAATGGAACAAACCAACCGATTCTCTTCCCGGTTTACTCGAATTAAAAATAAAAGTATAATTTTTACCTGCCGATTGTGCCGGGTTTGATTGCGGTCGCTTTTCTGGCTGTTTTCCTGCTCCTTTTGGACGTGGTGAGGGTTCTCAGGTCTGGGGGAAGCTGCCAGAGCTGGGCTCCTCATCTCTGCCTGGCTGCCCTGGGAGTGGGAGACGCTGGGAGCCCACCTGGGACGCAGCTTCTTGGCTCATCCCTTGCTCTCAGCGTGGCTGGAAGCCAAGGGATGCGCTTGGAGCCCGGCTGCAATGTGTCTGGCTCACAGGCTGCGGCCACCCGGGAGATCAGCCTCGGAATTCAGCCCTGAGCCACGTTGGAGAAACCCTCGTGGAGGCGCAGGTGATGCCTCCCCGCTTGCTGACGCGCTTTGGGGTCTCGGTCTGAGAGGCCAGAGGCTGGGCACAGCGTGGGGCTGGGATGTGCTGGGGTTCAGGTGTGCTGGTGCCCGCTTCGAGGCCGGGAAATGCTCAGATCTGCTGCGGGCAGCATAGCGCGGGCACCGGGTCCCGTCTCTGGGGATGCAGCACCGTGACAGCCGGGCCCTCAGGACCCGGCCAGCCCTGGTGCTCCGAGCCCAGCTGGCCACGGCTTAGCTCGGCCACTGCAGCCTCTCAAGGGGGGATTTTCAGCAATTTACACTGTTCAGCAGTGGGAAAAGAAAATCTTGAAGGTGTTGGGGATAACAGTGGTATTCGCATCAGCAGCACTAGCCCAAAAAAATTAAAATAGAACGGCTCCGTGGCTGTTGCTGCTCACTTAAAACCGTGCTGCTTTAAACCGTGCTGAAGCAGGTGGTGGGACACCGAAGGCAAAGGACGCTGCGTACCCCAGACCCTGAAAGGTGAGAGTTCACAGGGGTCCCGAACGATCACCACGGCTTTGTGATGCCCAAAGCTCATCTTTGCTTCTTCCCCCATAGGGTGGGCCCTTCCCCAGCTGCAAACAGGGGGGGTCACATCACCGTAAGCACCCCTAAACCGGGCAGCACTTTGGGTAGGAAGAAGCAGGGCTGAAGCAGACGGTGCCTCCCGGGAGCCCCCCTCGGGGCTGCGCGAGGGCTCGGCCGCCCGGGCGAGGCCGAAGCCCCCTCTGACCGCCTCTCTTTGTCCCTTTATTTTCCGCCTGCCTGCAGGAAAGCGGCTCCGTCAGCTCCGGCATCATCTCTCCATCCTGAGCAGAGCGAGAGCCGTGCTCGGCCTGGGAGGGGAGGGAGGACGCAGCGGCCGAGCCGCGGGGGCTGGCGAGCGGAGGAGCATCCCCTCTCCACGCCGCGGGGAGCCCGGCAGCCCCCGCCCCACCGGCTCCTCGCTCGCCATGCTGGATATTTTCATCCTGATGTTTTTTGCCATCATCGGCCTGGTGATCCTCTCCTACATCATTTACATGCTCTAGAGCCATGCCGGGGAAGATGCGGCTCAGCATCAGCCTCGCCATCCAAGCGTCGTCCAGGTGAGCCGGCTGCTCCTCCTCCCACCAGGCTTTAATTTCTGGGGAGAAACGTGTCGGGGGAGAGGGGGGAGAGGGGATAATTTAGGGTTTAAGGCTCTTGTCTTTGGCTGCTGGTGCCTCTGCCTGGCCGAGGCAGCCGAGCTCGGGGCTGGAAGGAGGGCACCAGGGTTTATTTTCTAAACCAGGCCACCTCGCCCGCTGAAACGTGCCCTGGCTTTTGTGTGGCCCCTGGGTTCTCCCTGCGGGGTCCCTCAGCCCCTTCCCGTCTGGAAAAGCTGCTCTTTGCCTTTTAGAGTGGCGCAGCACGAACGCGGAGCTTTTGTTCCCAAGAGGGAGAGAAATGAAACGGCTTAGGGGAGAAGCAAGAAGGGATCCCGGTTACATCATTTTAAAGGAGACAAAGGTGGTGGGGGGGGTCCCACTGCCTCTGCCCCTCCCCGTGCTGGGCAAAGGGCTGCTGCTGCCTGCGCTCCCCCCCGATGTCCCGGCCCAGTTCAGCCCAGTTTCTCCTTTCTCTCCCACAGCCACTGCCTGGGCCACCTCCCTCGGAGCCTTCTGGAACAGCATTAACCCTCGGCAAGGAACCGGCTGCCCAAGGCGGAGCGAGGGGCGTCGCGGAGGGGGCCCAGGGGGGCGAAGGAGGGACATGGGGTGGCCGGGGCGAGGGGACGTCCCGCTGCCAGGCCGGGGGTGCGAAGGGTCCTGCCCCCTCCACCCTGGGTGGCTTAGCCCCCTGGGATGAACGCTCGCGAGGTCGGTCAGTCGGGTTTTCTTTTTGAAAAGCACTTATATTTTTAATGAAAAATGTCGAAGGAAATTAAATAAAGAGGAACGACACGAGAGAGTGAAGGCGTCTGCTGGTGTTGGCCCTGTCAAAACGCACCCCTGGGCAGTGACCATGGGGCTGGGGAGCAAACTCTGCTTCTGGGGAGAGACGGGGGCCCCCCGAGAACCACGAGATCCCCACAAACTCCGCCAAGACAGCTCTGCATCCCCGGGGGGGTCCTGACCTGGCAGCGGGGGTCTGAACCAGGCTCTGTTCCGCACTCGGGTCCCCTCACAGGTTCAGGGAAGCTCTGGGAGGTCTCGGTCAATATCAGGGTAGAAAAAGGAACTTTCTTAATAGGATGGAAATTTCTGTGGGATGGAAAGAACATTTCAGAGCTTAATTTCTCCCAGCTTGGAGAGGTCTAGGGAGGTATTTGAGGCCTCAGGAGAATTTTTCCTGTCCTTTTATGAAGCCCTGCATCAATCCCTGCCCTTACACTGTCAGTGACAAGCAAAGCTCTTTTCCAACTGAAAATTTCATCCTCCTAGAAGAGAAAATTTTCATATGCCTGGTCTCTCCTGGATTTTTTTTTTTCTAAGCACACGAAATATCTGTAATGGGGAAAACTGCTCATGCCTCGTCAGTTAACCATGGCACCATCACACGAGTGGGGGCAAGGGAAGAGGCTCCGGTGAGCGCGGGGGCTGCGCGGGCACCGCCGGGGTACGTGGCTACTGGTCGATGAGACTTTCAGAAGATGGTGTTTACAGAAAGAAGAGGGATTTCAGAGTCTGGGAATGCTGGATGTGGTTGCTGTTGCCAGCTGAATACTCGACACTGCAATTTCCTGTTAGTAAAACTCCCGAGAGAAACACGAAGTTGGTGACTTTGGTCCCAAGCGTGTTCTCCGTGCTCTGGTCTCAGCCTGAGCTGCCCAGGGCAGTCCCTCGCCGCTGAGCCCCGGAGATGAGGAAAAGCTTCTCACTCCGCCACCAAATATAGTCGAAAATCAGAAGCTTGAAATAGTCTGGGAGGAATTTCTTCAAGCCTAAGTCATGTTCTCAATAACCTCCACTTGGTGAGTCTGTATCTGATATCAACATCTGCAGTGATTAAGAGAGAGTGAGTAACGAGGAATGCGTGGAATGGAAACTCAGCTGAGTGTGAAACCAGGAACGATAATTTTCTCTCACTCTGAAGGTTCCTCACCCCTCGGAGGGCCTTACAAACCCGCCAGCTATGCACAACAGCCCCTTCCGCCGTGCCCCAGACCGGCCAGCGCCGCGCGGGGAGGTGAAGCGACCCAGCCCAGCAGCTGAGGACGGCAAAGGGGTTGGAAGCTCCGGGCAGAAGCGGCGTTTGCAGCCGGACCGAGGGCCGCAGCGCCCGGGGTAGCTCTTTAGCCGATGGGATACGGTGCTCCACAGCCCAGGCGGCAGCCAGGGTGCAGCCCTGCGCTCTAAAGAACTCCCCTGCCACAGGGGGAATTTTCCTTCTCGTCCTGGGAGGGTTTTATCAACTCCCCACGGCAGCAGTTCAAATTTGGCAGCAGAAGAAAAAGCACTGTTTGCTCAAGTATCGCTGTCCCAGCTCCCCCAGTGTGTGGCGCTGCCCAGGGGCTCCCCACCTGGACACCATTAGCTGGGGGGGTTAATTGTGAGAAACAATCGGAGGGAGATATGGGGAAAGGAGGCTGCAAGGCCTGGTGTCGTTTTCCAGTTCAAACCAAACTGGTTTGGGAAGCACCGCTTTGGTGGGCTTGAGCTTTGAGGAGGAAAGGCCTCGCCTGGTGGGAACGTGTGCGTGAGCACTGCGAAAACTAACGGCCAACACTTGCTGAGCTGTTGTGTGTGTAAGAAAAAGAGCTGTTAATAATAATTAATAACGCCATCGGTATTTCACAATTGGCAGCTTCCTAAAGCTTGTGCTCCTGGAGGATCTGCTGCGAGAGCGAGCGAGCGAGCGCCGGCAGAGCTGACATTTCAGCTTTGTTGGCTGCTGCCAGGGAATCAAAGAACTCACTTTTCCTGTGTCGCCGCTCACATAATGGCACCCCTTGTGACGGGCTGTAATTTATTGCCGCTGTGTCCACGGCCCCGGGAGACGAGACGGACACGGGCAGAGAAGCTGCACCAAGGCTTTGTGTTGTGGCACAGAGAAGCAGCCTCACGGCCCAGCAAGACCCCGGCCCCGGTGGGTCAGGGCTCCATTATTCCGGATTCCATCCGTTGAGGTGATTTATTCCTGCGGAGGAAGGGAGGGACAGCCAGCGAGCTGGGCTGAGCGTTCCGCCTCGGCGGCTTCTCGGTGGCACTTCCCTGTGGCCAGTCTGGTTGGTCGCATTTTGGGGTCGTTAGGGACATGTCTGGAGGCGTTCAGTTCACTGAAGAGCTAGCAGAGTCTTGCATTTTGCTTACTTCAGACATAAGACGTAGTTGCAGCACAATTGTAGCATCGCAGAGTGCTCTTAAATATAACCTTCAAACAGCGAGAAAAAGGGGATGTTAGAAGCCATCGCCTGCAGACACTCCTCTCGGGGAAGGCTTCACCTCTGCCATCTACCGGCACGCCACAAAGAGCCTCCAAAAAAATTGATATCCCCTATCCTTAACGCAGTCAAATCCTGCCTGTAATTGTATATTCAACAAATGTCGCAAGAATCTTTAACATGCAAACATCCAAGCAAATCATTACAGAGCTGTTGTCGGCTCATTACTGATGAAATCAAGTGGGGGCAGCTGAGATAAATGGGCACGGCTGGGCTCTTTGCAGCGGTTGAAGACGGGTTTTCAAAGCTAAACAGGGGCCCTGCAGCTACAATCTGGTCCTGGAGGAGCACTAAAACATTTGGGAAGTGACTGAGGTGGAGATGAAGGTTTATGTAACAGTAGGAAGAAACCAGCCGTGTTGTAAACAGTGCATGGTAAAGTAAGTGCCTTTTATTATGCATTACATATTTCTGTTTTGAAGCCAATAGAGCAGAAAATCAAAACCTTTAATAAGTAGCAAACATTTATATCCTTCAATGAAATGGTAACCTTCACCTATGCGTGTTTAACGTGTGTCTTCTCAACTTAGCTACATCCCATAAAGGCAAATACACTTTAACAGTTCAGTTATGACACCAGGCAGGGAGAGGGATTTGAAGTTTCTTCTGCTTTATGGGTAAAAGGCACCTGTAGTTTGAGGGGAAAAAAGCCTGCCTTGCTTGATCCAAGCAGTGAAATTGCTTTCAGGAATCTCCCCGTTCTGCTAAAGCTGAATGGACAATCGATGGAGTAGTTCCGTGGTAGGACGCAAGACTTAGCAAGAGAGACCCTGGCAAAGTGGGGAAACGTAGCTGTGCTTCTCTAATTGTCTCTTTCTCCTTCAATTCTCAAGAGAAAACAAAATTAAAAGATCAAAATGTTTTCGCTTCTGAACTAAGACAACATTCTTCAAGATGTGTATGCACACCAAATATGAAAACCATGTCATTTTTATTGTGTATGCAAACATACACAGTGGGAAAAGAATGTAGTTCGTGTTCCCAAACCAGAGGCCCCTCTGAGCTTCCTCCGAGCATCGTAACGCGGCCTCCGAGGAGCAAACTGTGCCCAACTCCGCTGTGACTGCTCAGAGGTCCCCAACAGTTCCATCAGCTCTTTCAGCTGGTCTGACACCTATGTCACCAGCTTCTCCTGCTGCTACTCCAGCTCTTACCGGAATGGAAATTTAAGAAATAATCAGACACTGCTTTGCAAATGTTTTTAAAAAAAAAAAAATCCAGCAGGAGTAAGTCCAGCAAGTCTGAAAAATTCAGAGCATCAAATGGTGTTGCTGGTTCTTCCCATGGTCAGGAACAGGATTTCTCTATGGAAGTTCGCTTGTGCATTTATAAGATGGAATAAATTCAAAATGATGTTGTCCTCTTCACCATGATCCCCTACCAGGGCAAAGAAAACCATTTTAGTGAAACCAAATGACTTCTTCGAAGATAAATCTTACTGCTGCAGTGTTTTCAGCAGAGGCTGAATCAGCAGCCTCCGCTTAGATTTATGAGACATCAGCTACTGCACCTGATGGCGGGACAGCTGTGAAATAACACAGGAGACTGTCTCCAGAATTCCTGCAGCAGCTTGTCCAAAGATGGACAAGAACAATTGTGCGTTAAGACAAAAATCTGTCCTAACTGAGCAGGCTGTTCATCCTTACAGCTTGCCGTCGGAACCGGTCTCGAGGCTTTCTCAAGGCTGACAAGCTGTGGATGGGGAGCAACTGCAGCTTGTGGAGCTGAACAGGCTGCCTGGCACTGCCCAGAGCCTGGGTTTAGACCCAGCCCAGAAGGACCTCGGGCTCAGAGCTCTGGTGGGACGTACTTCGAAAGACTCTTGGTTTCGCCATCCACAGTGCTAGGAATCTCTTAGACAAGAGAGACCGGTTCAGAGAAATGTCTCTCCCAATTAGGACACTCGATCGATTATTTTATGTTATTTAAACACCTCAGGCTCGCAGACCCACAGCCTTACCCCACAGCACTGCCTGTACCATGTCCATGATCACGTAAGCAAAGGCGCTCTCCACGCTCTGCAGAAAGTTTTTTCTCTCTCCCGGAGTGCTGAAAACTTTGCAGACCTTTTGCATCATTTTTACCACCCAGTCCATGGAGTACAGGTCCTTCTCACAGACCTGGCGTGCACAGGAAATATTAGAAACACAGCTTTTATGATGAGCACGACGTTATAAAAGGCAAGATTAAATCTTAGAATTAACTATTGACTAATGAATGACTGGATCAGTGGCAGCCATGGCCTGGAAAATCACGGCTTTTTAGGGGGCCATAGAGGTTGTTCTTGTTGGCAAGCTAAAAGGGGAACTTGTCAGCCTTTTGCTAAGTCAAGGGCAGGCTGGCCAGCTTGCAGGGACCAGAGGGTGGAAGAGTACCAAGCCTCTGACCAGATTTACTCCTGGTTTGTAGGAGTAGGTGAGGAAACAGCAAATCTGTGGGCAAAGAGGCAAAAGGCTTGAGCCTGCTCTGTTCAGTAGAACTCACCAAAGCCAGGAAGACCACAAGTCTGGCTAAATCGAGGG